CACGACTACGAGTACTACCATTACTACCACTATTGCTACTACTTCGACTAGTACTACTACTACTACTGCTACTACAGCTACAACTACACCTACAACTACACCAACTACTACTACTACTACTACTACTACTACTAGTAATAATACTACGGGTGCTACTAGACGACGGCGACGACTACTACTACTACTACTACTACTACTACTACTGCTACTACTCTAGCTGCCCCTACCCCTACTACTGCTACTACTACTACTACTACAACCACTACTACTACTACTACTACTACTACTGCTTCTACTACTACTTCTACGAGCTTTTTGCATCATTATTTTGATGATGGTTCTTATGCTACTACTATCAATACGACGACTACCACTACTACTACTACTGCTACTACTACTACTACTGCTACTACTACTACCATTACTTCTACTGCTATTATTATTATGACTATCACGAACGAATTCCTATGGATTCGTGCGGACATTCTAGGGCTTCTTATGAATTTCGTAGTGAAGACGCCCTCGTGGGCCCAAAAGGTCCCAGAAGGATTCTGAAGGATTCCTTCGGGATGCTTACAGGTTTCCCAGGGCCGCCCCAGGAATCACTTGGGATTTCTAAGGATCCCCTAAGGATACCCTTGGAATTCCGTAGGGACTCCCTAGGGCTTCCGGAGGACTTCTGGGGGAGTCCTACGGATTCCTTTGGGGGGCCTCCAGGATTCCTCTGGGGGTGTTTGAGATTCCCTAAGGATTCCCTAGGGAGCCCTAAGGAATCCGGAGGATTCACTAAGGATTCCCAGGGGATTCCGAAGGATTTCTTTGGAAGTCCTCAGGATTCCTGAGGGAGTGCTGAGAATTCCGTAGGGCACGCGGAAGATTCCGTAGGGAGTGCTAAAGATCCCGCAGGGAGTGTTCAGGAATCCGCAGGGGGTGCGCAGGATTTCATAGGGGAAACCAATGATTCTTTAGGGGTGGCTTAGGAATCCGTCGGGGGTGCTAAGTTTTCCTTGGGGAGTGCGAAGGATCCCCAAAGGATTCCTAAAGGATTCCGAAGCATTCCCGAGGAATTCCCGAGGGATTCCGAAGGATCCCCTAGGGATTCCTCAGGATTCCCTCGGGATTCCTCAGAATTCTTTTGGCTTCCCAGGGATCCTTTGGGATTCGAAGGACTCCCTAGGATTCCTTAGGGATTCCTAAGAATTTCCTACGGATTCCGAAGGATTCCCGGGAGAGGAGTACCCAGCTCCCCGCCCCACCCACCCACCCTGCAACGCAACGGAACATGCGTTGCGTTGCGCTGCGCGGGGGGGGGGTCCGTGTACATTAGCGAAATGTTTCACCACGCGAAGCGAAAGGGAGTACTGGAGGACCCGGTCCGGGTGCACCAGTACTTTGTCTTGCTTTTTTGTTGTTGCTGTTGTTGTGGGTGCTGCTGCGGTTGCTGCTGGAATGGCTGTTGCAGTTGCTGTTGCTGTTTCTGTTGCTGCTGCTGCTATTGCTGTTGCTGATGCTATTGTAGCTGCTGCTGTGATCGTTGTTGTTATTGTTGTGGTTGTGGATATTGTTGCTGTAGTAGTAGTAGTAGTAGTAGTAGTAGTAGTAGTAGTAGTAGTAGTAGTAGTAGTGGTAGTAGTAGTAGTAGTAGTAGTAGTAGTAGTAGTAGTAGTAGTAGAAGTAGAAGTAGTAGTAGTAGTAGTAGTAGTAGTAGTAGTAGTCGTAGTCGTAGTCGTAGTAGTAGTTGTTGTCTTTGTTGCTGTGGTTGTTGTTGTTGTTGTTGTTGTTGTTGTTGTTGTTGTTGTTGTTGTTGTTCGTCTTATTCTTGTTCTTGTTGTTGCTGCTGCTGCTGCTGTTGTTGTTGTTATTGTTGTTGTTGTTGTTGTTGTTGTTGTTGTTGTTGTTGTTGTTGTTATTGTTGTCGTTGTTGCTGTGGTTGTTGGTGTTGTTGTAGTTTTTGTTGGTGTCTTTGTCTTCGATGCTGTTGTTGTTAATGTTGTTGTTGGTGTTGTGGTTGTTGTTGTCTTTGTTGTTGTGGTTGTTGTTTGTTGTTGTTGTTGTTGCCGTTGTAGTTGCTGCTGTAGTTGTTGAGTTCTCATTTCTGAAGAATAATTATTGTTGATCCCCCCCACCGGTGCATACTGTTTTTTCTCAGTCAAAGTGTGCCCCTCGACGCTCGCACCCTGTTCTTTGACAGGGAAAGTCTTGATGCTCAAGCTGGGCCCCTGGCCCCCCGGGTTACAACAACAACGGCACCCGCCTGAGACTTCCTTACAATTTAGCCAGGACCCCCGCTCCCGCCCGAGAGTTCCTTATATTCAGGAGTCGCGCTCTCGCTTGGGACTTCCTTACAATTTATTCAGGAATCGCTCTCCTGGCGCTCTGGAGTCGCACTCGCTGGAGACTTGCTTGCAACTTACTGAAGAATGGCCTTGCGTTGGAATTTCTTGCAATTTGCCCAAGCGCCGCGCTCCCGACACCCAGGCACCCAGGAGTCGCGCCCGTTGTGGCCCTATGTGCACGCCCTTCGTGGCCCCGCTGTCGCCATTTGTGTCCCCCTCACTGTCCTACGTGGCCCAGTTGCTACCCTCAGTGGCCCAATAGTTGCCTTCTGTGGTCCCGCATTACCCGCTCGTTCGCGCTCTTCGTGGCCCCATGCGCATTCCATTCGTGTCCCCGCTGTCGCCCTTCGTGGCCTACTTCGTGCCCTTCGTGGCCCTGCTGTCGTTCTCTCTCGCTCTCGCTGTCGCTCGTCGTCGCCGGGGTCGTCGTCGTCGTCGCCGTCGTCTTAGACGTCGTCGTCGTCGTCGTCGTCGTCGTGGTCGTCGTCGTCGTGGTCGGTCCCCTGTCCGTCCCTCTTGGGGTCGGGTCGACGGTCCGCGGCCGCCCCGCCGATCAGCGCTGCCGCTGGCCAGGCCGACGGTCCGCGGCCGCCCCGCCGCTTGCCGGGGCCCGGCCTGCAGGGAAGAACGGTATACCCCCCAAAAGGGGTTCGATCGAAGACGAAGAGGGCGGGTATCGAGGGTTTGGGAAATACGCGGTATTGGACACTCGAGCATATAAGGGCGAGCAATCTTAATTATTATTATTGTTGTTGTTGTCGTCGTCGTCGTTGTTGATGTTCTTGTTGTTGTTGTTGTTGTTGTTGTTGTTGTTGTTGTTGTTGTTGTTGTTGTTGTTGTTGTTGTTGTTGTTGTTGTTGTTGTTGTTGTGTGTGTGTGTGTGCACCAGGCCCCAGGGCCGTCAAATATCCGCTCGGAACCGCTCGGGACGGAAACCCGTCTCTGGGAAAGGGTACACCTTTTGGGGTCCGTGTGGACGATATCACGATGTCGGAGGCCTCGGTCCCCGCCCCTCCTCTCTGCCGTTCCTGCTCCTCGGGATGCTCACGGTTCGGTCGGCTCGGTGGCGTCGCGGTCGGTTGCGTTCGGTCGGCTCCGTTCGGCCGGTTATCGTGCCGCTCCTGCGTCGCTGCGCCCTGCTGGGCTGCCTTCGGACTGTTGGTTTCGGTTTCGGTTTCGGTCTCGCTGTCGGTTCGGCTGGTTTTTGGTCGTGCCGTCGCCGTGCGAGGCCTGCTCTTCCGCTCTCGCGAGCCGTACCTCGTGCTGCAGTGCACGAGTCTGCGATTGCGGGCCTCCTCATGCCGACGGCCCTTGTTCTGCAGAGCCAGATTGTAGAGCAGGAGCTATTCGGCCATCCTCCTCCCTGCTCCTCCCCCCTCTGCGTCCCCCTCCACCTGCTCCTGTGGTGCCTTCCTGCACCTGCCCAACCCCCCCCTGTGATGCTCCCGCTGCACCTGCCCGATCCCGGCTCCACTCGCTGCGCCTGCCGCCCCCGTTTGCCGCCCCCTCTCCGGGCAGATCATCGAGACCTTCGACCCGAAGCGCACCACGGTCGATGCCTGGGCCGAGGACGCCGAGATCCTGAAGGAGCCATGGAGACGGATGGGGCGGAGGCTGAGGAGAAGGACAACGAGGAGGGGGGAGCGAGGAGGAGGATGAGGAGGAGGAGGAGGAGGAGGGGGATGATGATAATGATGAAGATGATGCTCATGGTGATGATGATGATGGTGATGATGATGATGATGGTGGTGGTGGTGGTGGTGATGATGAGGAGGAGGATGATGAGGAGGATGATGATGCTGACGATGGTGGTGGTGATGATGATGCTGATGCCAATGCTGATGCTGATGCTGACAGTGATGCTGATGATGATGCTGCTGATGCTGATGCTGATGATGATGCTGATGCTGATGCTGCTGATGATGATGATACTGATGCTGATGATAATGATGATGATGATGATGATGATGATGATGATGATGCTGATGATGATGATGATGATGCTGATGGTGATGATGCTGCTGATGCTGATGCTGCTGCTAATGCTGCTGATGCTGCTGCTGCTGATGCTGATGCCGCTGCTGCTGATGCTGCTGATGCTGATTATGATGCTGATGATGATGATGACGATGCTGATGATGATGGTGGTGGTGGTAGTGATGGTGGTGACGATGACGATAACGATGACGATGACGATGACGATGACGATGACGATGATCATGATCATGATCATGATCATGATCATGATGCTGATGATGATGATGATGATGATGAAGAAGATGATGACGATGACGATGACGATGACGATGACGATGATGATGATGATGATGATGATGATGATGATGATGATGATGATGATGATGATGATGATGATGATGATGATGATGATGATGATGATGATGATGATGGTGATGATGACGAGCGATGGCCGCGGCGGCGAGGAGGAGGTGGAAGTGTCAGATTATAGCGTTCCGACTGGGTGAGCATGGTAAGCTTGTGAGCCTGGAGGAAGAGCACGTTAGGCAGCTGTGTCTTGTTGTTCAGCAGTTCTTATGAACGTTTCCGGCAAGGCCTTCTCTGGACATACCGCCTTTTGGCTCAAGTTTTTATGCTTTCTCGTTGAAAATTCCTTGCTTGACATTCATGGTAGCAGAGCACGTGGTTCGCCCCACGGGTTCCACAGCAGAGATGGTGGCGGTGGCGGCAGTTGCAGTTGCCCCATCGAGTCCTGGAGCTCACGATCCGGGTTTCAGAAGTGTTGTTATTTGAACTACGTGGAGTCTAGTAATTAGTACAGCCTGGGTACGAGTTGGTTTGCGGGGGTGTGCAACGACGTTTGCGAGAGCGGGTGCTTCAGGCACGTGAACGCTGCGCTCCAAGCCAATCGCGAAGACATGACATTATTTTTCAAGCGCGCTGCCATAGAGGGCGCCAGGACTGTTGGTAACGACGACTCATTCACAACGTCGCAGATGAACTGCACAATGAATGCGCTCCTGGTCTCGGTGAACGAGCACAACATGTACGGCGGTCAACAGTGGGATAATGAAAAGTAATATCTGACGAAACCGTTCCAACATCAAACGAGCACTTCGGAGCATGTCACCAGGATCGCTGAGGCCTTACAAGCCGCAGGTAACGCCAGGGCAAGGGGAGGTGATAACGACGCCGTGCGAGAGTGCGAGGCTGTTCAACAGTCAGAGGTGTTTTCAGGTGTCAGGGCCGAATACGCATAATGCAGCGAACAGCTGTTGAATGCATGCTCAAATGGAGCGCGGCTTCCGAAAATCTTCACGAATTTGTGCAACAAGCTCGAGACCATGGGCGGGGCATTTCCCGATGCCGAAGAGGACGATCAGAGCAAGGTCGTAGCGGGGCAGTAACGGTGAACAAGTACACCACAGCGCGGGACATCAAAGGAAACACAGGCGATTGAAAGGGGGAGATGAGTTGGATGAAGACGATTATGCCAAGTTTGGCGAGCACGTCTGGCATTGATCGAGCGACAGCCAAGAGGTTGCAGTGCCCCGGGGAACGATTCAGAGCCTGCACGAAGGATAAGGCTTGATGGCTGTTCTGGAAAATCCACGAGCGGTACTCCACGGCGGCGGGGTCTACCTGAGGTTGCCGTCCAGCTTGAACAGTAGAGTGCGTTGGTATCATCACTGGGAAAGCATTTCTCTGCCTTTTCGGTCTATTGCTACTCAGGCTTGCGACAATAGTTGCGACTCATGCAGGCCATTGGCTTGGTGACTTGCAGTAGGATTATTGCGCGGCCGCAGAGTCGTTGAACGTCGACGCCCGGCAGAATCTCTTCGCGAAGTGCGAGGGCCAGGCAAGGGGGGCCGCTCGACGCTGACCGCTGACGCGAAAGGCGCCGATGCAGTGGACATTGGCCAGGTTAACGATGGCGACCGTGGAAAATTGGGACGCCAGTGAAGGCGATGGAAGTAGTGGCGACGAGGCGGGTAGCTGGTGGCCCTGGACATGGGGAGACATGGCCGAGAAAGGCAACGCTAATGAAGCTAGTGGTGGAAATTTGGAGGGTCAAAGACCCCCGTGCTACAGGCGTGGATGGCGCGGGCGCGCTGCCGGGGATTGCGCCTCCAAGGGGGCCGCCAAAGGAGAAGGATGAGGACGCGTGATAATGCGCTTGCTCCATGGGCTACCAGAGGGTGCAGGCAGGGATGATCATGCGCTTGCTCCGTGGGTTATTAGTGGGTGCAGGCGGGGGGATGCAGTGGGAGATATTAAGGCACCATGGTATGCACTGGGGGTGGCGTCAAGGGAGGTTGCTGAGCGGATCCCCCAGGAGGTTGCCAATGGAGCCGAGCCCCAGGCTGAAAAGGAGGAGGCGTGGGGGGATTTGCGCCGAGCAGCGAGAGGGGGTGTTGCGCGTGCAAGGGTTGCAGTGCCGCCCGCTGCCCCGAGAGCGCCATTGGGTTTTTTCGAGGTCGCGGTGGGGCAGGGGGCCCAGGAGGGCGTGCGCGCGTGGCAGGGCAACCTCTGCAGGGGCCAGATTGCTGCACCGTCGAGTTGGGCGGATTTGCGGACAAAAGTGGAGGCGATGATCAGATCGAAGCCGGAGTGGGGGGCGCGGTGCTAAGTGGCGAAGAGGGGGGGCCGGGAAGCCAGCTTCGGGGTCAGGAGGTCGGCGTTTTTCATTGCAACCAGGGCGCCAATGGGAGCGGCCTTATTTTGGGCTGTGTCGAGAAGGGGGAAATTTTGATTCAAAGCGACGCCGGGCCACAGTGGAGGTGAAGGGCCCTGACGACGAAGTCAATCGAGTGCGAGTAAGCGGCCAGGGAAGTGGGGTGGAGGCGATTGTTGTTGCCGTGGATCTAGACGGCCACGGCGCTATCGGAGCCCCGAGCGCAGGAACTCACTTCCTTGTCAAGCCCGCGCATGCCTCCAAGAACGGCGAACGCTACAGTGCGGCGAACGGGTCAGCCATCAGGAACCACGGGGAGCGGATCGTCGGGGGATAGAACGAGGAGCGAGTCATGATGAGCATGCCCATCCAAGTAGCCGGTGTAATAAAGGTACTTGGCTCCGCGCGTGGGGTGGCCGAAGCATGGGGCCGCGTAGTTTTGGGCCCGGGCGGATGGGTGGTTGCGTAGTTTTCGCGAGCGCGGGTGCCGTGACAGAAGGCGACGATCCGCGAGGAGCATGGCAATTCCCAGTTCGCCATCCGGGCGCCGGAAGGAGCTGCGAGTCGAGGGGGCGAGGACGGTGGAAGGGGTCGACGAGGGGAGATGTGCGGGTTCTCCCGGGCAGGGAACTCTCATGGCGGACGTGTTCTATACAGTGCCCAGCCGCGCCCGTGTGCCCTCGCTATATTCCGGTCGCCATGGATTTGGAGGACGATCGAGGGTGGGGGCATTGAGTCAGTTTGCGTGGGAGATGTTCGGTGGCATGGGGGCCGAGGTGCCTGGAAGGGCCGCGTGTGATCTGAGAGCAAGCAGAGGTTGAACTGCATGGGCAAATTCACTTGCCCGCCGAAGCAAGCGCCCCCGCTGCGTGAGTGGAAGGGCAAGGGGTGGGTCGCGCAACGGAAAAATAAGGTCGCCAGTGCAAGGGGTGCCGGTGATCTCAGTTGAGTACTTGTGGCTGAGCGGCGCAGGAGGAGAAAGCGAGGGCGAGGGCAGAGGATCCCTAATCGTCGCCTTGCGTCGCCGGGGCGCCGAGTAAACTTGGGGCAGGGTTATCCCAGGAGGCGTGGGTCCGTGTTCAGTATGCGCATTCATCAGGGCGCTCGAGGAAGCGGTCAAGGCCTCGTGCGACCTCGACGCGGGGCTAGAAGTCAGCCCCTTCGGGGGCTCCCAAGCAAATGGGGCAGTTGAGAGGACATTCCGGGCAGAGGAGACCGCGCTCGGATGGCAAACGGTGCTTTGGACGACGTGAACAATATTGAGGACGGAGGAGAACGCGCCCTTGTATCTTGGCTAGTGGCTTATGCATCTTCTCGCATCGGCAAATGCGCGATAGACGCCAGCGGTAGAACCGCCCGCGAAGGATGCCGAGGGCGGAAATTGAGCAGGCCGTTGCCCGATTTTGGAGGATGTGTCATGTATTTGAAGACTCCGCCTACGGAAGGTGGCCGTGACCTTGTGGCCGCGTGGGGGAGTAGTGTGTGTAAGTGAGCACGTGTGAGACAAGTTGATAGTTAGTTGTTGGCGCTCAAGAGGCGTCGTCAAGTCCCGCGAGTTCAAGCGCGATGAGAGCAAGGGGGGACATGCAACTTTAGTTGAGAGTGGTAACGTAACAGGACTACCCCGGCAACCGCGCCGAGACGCATTTGAAAAGGGAGGTGAAATCCAGAATGGTATGACCGATGGCGGTGCCGAATCAAGGCTCTGCTGCAGATGCCCAACCGTTGGTGGCTCGAGGACTCGCGGTGAAGCAGTCGGAGCCCCCGCCTGGATATTATGGGCGTGAGGCTTTAGCCGGAGGAGACGCCGCCCATGGGCCTCGTAGTGCGGGCTGTCGATAACGTGTTGTCGAGTGGCCTCAAAGACAAGGCGACCCGAACATCCATGTGGTATTAGCTGCAGCTCAGACACGGACGGGGCCCGACCGTCTTTTGCAGGACATGGGTAGAGAGGATCCTTTTGTAGACGACTGGGCCGCTTGAGACGGGTTAGACAATTGGCGGCGCCATGGTTTCAACGCCCAAATGTACGCGTCTAGATGCATGGGGGTTATCGCTCGCTCGCGCTTGAGCAATGGGAGATGGGCGCCCGTAATGTATCGGGGGCCTGGTGAGATGGATATGGCCGACGGAAGGGAGTTGCGAGGGCCTCGGAAGGGAAGGGCTGAGTTCCGCTTTATCCTTAGCGGCGATGGCGACGAATGCCAGGCCGATGTTGCTCTTCCAAGATTAGCGGCAGCACGGGGGATGGCAGCTCATCCCGGGGGCGATGAGGACTCGAGGAGTCAGGGATGAAGGGGGGCGATGGCAAGGAGGCGCAACAGGGGGCCAGGTTAGCCTGGGGAAGCGAGGGGCCCGAGGGCGAACACGTATTACAATGGCGAAAACATACAACGCAACAAATTTGAACATGTGGGTGAAGGCAGAAACTGGAGCAGATATATTAGCAGTGGCGGGTGGTTCTTCAATCCCAGAACTTTTTTGAGGGTCGGGGACGACGTCGTGGTGGTGTGGTGTATATTTTTTCCATTGTTTTCCCGTGGAAACAACAAAGCATGTATATACCAGGATGCCGTCTACACCATAACCCGTTTCCTTGTGCGAATGTCAGTGCGGGGCCGGCAAGCAGCACCGGTGTATGTATGTATGTATGTATGTATATATACACACATATATATATGTATACATATGTATATTTGGTATCCTTTCTTACATCAAATAATATATCCGCGTGGGTTTTGATCCTGGTGTAGTGGAGTGTTTGTTCGGCACGAATCTCAATGCCGCCAAGCACTTCATTGCAGTCAGGAGAGATGTGAGGCTATGCGGTCACGGTCGGCACCGCGTGCAGTCGCGCGTTTCAGAGGCCTGTTCGCCAGTGCGAGTTGCTGGCATGGAGAGAGAATGGTGCTCGTGCCTGACTTGGCCTTATACTTCTACGTGTTCTGAATATGGGAACCATTATGGTTCTAATTGTGGAACAATACGTGCAAAAGCCCAGCTTTTAAGCGATGATAGATCAGCACTACTGGTGATCGTAACTCCAATTCAATTTCGCGGCTGTCCGTAGGTTCAAGCCTTTCAAGTCGGATCGGGGTTTTAAGGATGCGGGGAGTTGATCATTGCGAAATGAAGCGCGTCAAGTTTGCGCTGGCACTGTGTGCAATCCGCAGGAAAGGCGGTCTCACTTCCTCTGCGAGCGTCCTGCAGGAGCCTCGAGATGGAGGACCGCGACGTCAATGCCGGGAATGCAGAATCACGCAGTTGCACAGACACAAGATGGCGGTCTGTGCGTGAGGCAATTTGTAATATTGGTGGAGGTGTCCATAAAGAACCCCGCGCGGCTCATGACTAAAAGGTCTACATCGGAAGGGCCCGCGGCATCAGGCACACATCGGGTTTTGGATAACCAGGTGACGGCTGACGACCGATTAGGGTGCTCTTTGAGAGCCTGTGACCCAGGGGTTCATCGGAGTGGTGGAGCGCAAAGCAGAGGCCGAGCGCGTGGGCGTGGCCGTGCTCCTTTGCTAGGAGTGAGAGCTCCAGTAGCTGCGTGGCGAGGCGGCGACGGAGCTTGGCTCCAAATTTAGCGTGAACCCGCTGTGCTGGAGGCCCCGCGGGCCGAGGTGGCGGTGCAGTTCCCGCGGCCGACGATTGTCGTCGAGGGCGTCATGGCCTCGCTCGACTCCGTCCTGCCCAACGTCCAAATGTCCGTACCTTCGGCGCGGATGAGGAGGCGGCCAAGGAGGTCCGCCGCGCGGAGCGCCGCGTCCGCACTGCGGCCGTCGAGGCGAATGCCGAGCGACGGGCGGAGCTCGAGCGCCAGCGGGCGGGCGCCGCCAGAGGCTCGGGCCTTCTGGCGGGCGGCGCGGCTCCAGGCGCGCCTGCCCCCGAGACAGGCGGGGTGCAGCGGCCTGCTGGGCCTTGGGCTTTCGCTTTCTTGCTGCTGCTGAGGCGCCCCCCGCGCGCCGCGGGGCAGGCCGTGCCTGCCGAGGAGGGTAAGTTCCGTGAGACGGCGCAGCGGTTCGCCGATGGGCTCGAGAGCTCCGCCAATCGCCAGCTGTTGGAGGCGCCCGTGGCCGCTGCAGTGGTGTAGATCTGTCCCGTGCTATGTCCAGATGATGTCTTTGCAGGAAGTGGTCTCGGCCGTCGACCCCGCGGGCGGCCAGTGCGCGCTGGCGTCGACCGACCTCGCGTGGGCGCCGGCGGTGATCCAATAACCCCCCCTTGAGGCCCATTTCGGGGAGGTTTCTCCTAGCGGAGTTTTCGGCGATGCCCTCGGCGGCCGCCCGCCTCCAGCGCTTCTTCGTCGGCAGCTGGCGCAGGCGCGGGCGCTGTGTGTCGGGGTGTTCTGGCGGCCTCGGTGTCTGCGAACTTTCCTTGTCCCTGGTCGGGCGCCAGCGTCGGTGCCGCCGACGGCGGAGCCGCCGGGCGCGCTGCTTGGCGCTGCCGAGAGGCCGGCGGTCTCGAGTCGACGCCGCCGGCTGATGGCGGCCAGGCACCGGTCAGTGGGTTCGTGGCCATCGCCAACGCGTCGTCGACCGGAGCCCTGGGGTACTGCTGGCTAGCTTGTTCGGTGCTCAGGTAGTCCTCGCCCAGGAGCGCTGCGCTGGCGCTGGCAGGGTCGCCAGTCTGCAGCGGCGGGCGCGCAGCCTGGGCTGCCGCGGCGTCCGGGACACGGCGGCCCGCTCCGCCGACAGAGGCGCTCGCGGAGGCTGCGCGGTCCTCGCTTCCGCGGCAATGCGCACCCCCCTGGGTGCCTGGTGTCGGGCGGGGCCGCTGCGGGCATAGTGCGTTGTGGCGTGTCTGGCGGCGTCGTCCTCGTGTCCGTGTACCTCCGCGATTCGGTCGGGCTCGACGTGTCCAATTTGTAGATCTTGGCGGCTGTGGGCCGCTGCGTGGTGGGCGTCGCCGTCCGTGGCTACTGCTGGGTCGTGGGCGGGGACTTCAACGTGTTTCCCGAGCTACTGGCCCCGCGGTACAACTCGGTGGGCGCCGTGCTGCTCAGCTCGGAGGCTTCGACGTGCAGGCAGAAGCTGCCAGGCGCCAAGCTCGACTACTTCGGGTTGGACCATCGCCTTCGGGGCCGCGTCCAGCGGCCCCAGGTGGTGCAGGCGGGCGACGCGTATCCGCGCAATCCTGTGCTGCTGCCGCTCCTGACCCATGATGGGCCGCTGTAGTGCAAGGCGCCGCGGGGGCCGAACGCCATCCCGGCGGTGGCGCCCCCCGGCAGTGGGCCGGTGAGCTATGGCGTTTCATGGGTAATGCTTGGGCCGATTTCTTTGTGAAGTTCGGGGCTCGGGACACTGCGATTGCTGATGTGGCGGTGGCGCCGCTCCAGCCGGCCATGGGTGGTTGTCATTTGTCATGCCAGTTTCTCTCCCGAGCCGTCCAGATAAGCTGCGCTCGTCCAGAGGTCTCCCAGGCGTTTGCTGCTCCAGTGCCGGCTCGGGCCCCTGGGCCCACTTTGCCCCAGCTAGTTTTAGTGGCTCATGACGCCGTGTCGCTGGCTC